ATTCTTCATGGAATGTTTTGTAAAACTTGCCTGTGAAGCCATCTAGACCAGGGCTTTTTTTTGTTTGGAGGTTTTTTTGTTTGTTTGTTTGTTTTTTACTGCTTCTATTTCATTGCTTGTTATTGATCTACTCATGCTTTCTGATTCTTCCTGATTGAGTTTTAGAAGATTGTATTTTTCTAGGAATTTATCCACTTTGTCCAGGTTATCCAATTTATTGGCATATAGTTATTCATATTATTTTCTTACAATCTACATTTCAGTAATGTTAGTTCTTTCTTCATCTCTTTCATTTCTGATTTTATTTATTTGGGTCCTTTCTTTTTATTTCTTGATAAGTATGGCTAAAGGTTCATCAATCTTTTTTATCTTTTTAAAGAACCAGCTCTTGGGTGTCATTGATCTTTTTTATTGTTGGTTTTGTTTTTTAGTCTCTATGTCATTTCTGCTCTGATTTTTATTATTTCCTTCTTTCTACTTTGGCTTTTCTTGTTGATCTTTTTTTTTAATTCTTAGTTGTAGGGTTAGATTGTTTATTTGAAAATCTTCATGTTTCTGGAGATAGGCCTGTAATGGAATGAGCTTCCCTCTCAGGATTGCTTTTATTGTGTTTCCTAGATTTTGGATTGTTGTGTGTTCATTTTCATTTGTTTCTAGGAAGTTTTCTTTATTTCTTTTTTAATTTCATTGGTAACCCCTTTACTGTTTAATAACAACTTATTTAGCCTCCATGCATTTGAATGTTTTTTTGAGTTTTTTAAATTGTAATTGACTTATAGTTTCATGCCATTGTGATCTGAGAAGATGCTTGATATGATTTCAATCTTTTTGAATTTGTTAAGACTTATTTTGTGTCCTAAGATGTGGTCCATTTTTGAGAGTGATCCGTATACAATTGAGAAGAATGTATATTCTGCAGCTTTGGGATGAAATGTTCTATAAATATCAATTAAATCCATCTGATCTAGTGAGTTGTTATGGTTGCTGTTCCTTTGTTGACTTTTTGTCTGGAAGATTTATCCAGTGATGTCAGTGGGGTGTTAAAGTCTCCTATTATGACTGTGTTGCTGTCAATCTCTCTTTTAAAACTCTTCAAGATATTTTTTTTGTTAATCCTTACTGGGCGTTATTTTTTTCATTTATTTCTGGGAGAGAATGGCAGAGAAGAAGGGAGGGGGAGAGAGAGAGAGAGAGAGAGAGAGAGAGGGAGAGAAACAGCAATGTGAAAGAGAGAGACATCATTGGTTTCCTCCTACATGTGCATTGACCAGGATGGGGATAAAACCTGCACCCAGATAGGTACTCTTGACATGGAATCAAACCAACCTGCAACCTTTTGGTGCATGAGTTGATTCTCTAACTACTGAGCAATACTGGCCATAGTGAAGAGTTATTTTAAAAAATATATATTTAGGTTCTCCAACATTGGGTGCATCTATGTTTACCAGGGTTGTGTTCTCTTGTTGGGTCAATCCATTTATTATTATGTAATGACCTTCTTTGTCTCTTTTATGGCCTTTGTTTTGAAGTCTATTTTGTTAGATATATTTATTGCTTTCCCTGCTTTTTTTTCCATTTTCATTTATATGAAATAATTTTTCCCCTCCCTTTAGTTTTAATCTGTGTGTCTTTTGTTCTGAGGTGGTTGTCTTGTAGAAAGCATATGTATGGGTACTGTTTTTTAATCCATAAGCTACCCTATGTCTTTTGATTGGAGCATTTTATCATTTACATTTAAGATTATTATTGATAGGTAATTATTTATTGCCATTTTTTCTTTGTGCCTATATTCCTCTCTTTATATATTTCTTCTTCTTATAGCAGATCCTTTAACATTTTCAGCAATGTTGATTTGGTGGTAATAAGCTCCTTTAGCCTGTTTTTTTTTTTTTTTGTCTGGGAGCTCTTTGCGTCACATTCAATTTTGAATGATCACTTTGATGGCTAGAATAGTCTTGCTTTCAGATCCTTGCTTTTCATTACTTTGGATACTTCATGCCACTCCCTTCTGTCCTATAGAGTTTCTGATGATAAATCAGCTGGAAGCCTAATGGGAGCTCCTCTGTAGGTACTAATTCTTCTTTTCTTTCTGCCTTTAAGATTTTCTGTCTGTCTTTAGTTTTTGGCATTTTATTATGATATGTCTTGGTGTAGACCTCTTTGGGTTCACTTTGATTGGGACTCTCTGTGCTTCCTGAACTTGTGCAAGTTTTTCTTTCACCAGATTAGGGAAATTTTCTGTCATTATTTCTTCATATAGACTTTCTATCCATTGCATACTTTCTTCTTCTTCTGGCACTCCTATGATGCATATGTTGTTACTTTTCATGTTGTCTACAAACTCCCTTAAACTATCCTTCTGCTTTTTAATTATTTTTTCTTTTTGGTGCTCTGATTGAGTGATTTTTTTTTTCTACTTTGTCTTCGCATTCACTAATTTGAACCTCTGCCTCCTCTAATCTACTATTTATTTCTTCCAAAATATTCTTTATTTCAGCTATGTCATTCATCATTTCTGACTGTTTTTTTTATGGTTTCTAAGGCCTTTTTCATGCTGTTGAGTATCCTTGTAGTCATTACTCTGAGCTCTGTATCTGATAAATTGCTCATATTTATTTCATTTAGCTCTTCTTCTGGAGAATTCTCTTGTTCCTTCATTTGGGGTCTGTTTCTTTGTCTCCCCATTTAGGTTGCCTATTTGTGCTTATTTCTATTTATTAGTTTGATCTGCTATGGCTCCCAGTCCTATCAGGGTGGACTTCTATAATGGGTGACTTGTGGGAACCAGTGGTGTTGTCTCCATAATTTACTGAGCTGGATGCTCTAGGAATGACCCTGTTGTGGATTATGTGGGTCCTCCTGTTGTAATTGGCTTTTTATTGTTCTTGTTCTGTTTGTGGGTGGACTTGCCATTGGGCTGGCTGACTATGAGGCTCAACCCTAATCATGTCTTCATAACTGTTATACAGGTGCTGAAGGACAAAATAAGAACAAACCAGAAACACACACACACACACACACACACACACACACACACACATTAAAGACCAATGACAAATAAAACCAATACCACCACCACCACCAAAAAAAGAAAAAAGAAAAGAAAAGAGGGGAAAAAAGATAATACTATATATCAGGAGATCAAGGAATTATAGCAGAAAGAAGGAAATGAAGGAGGAGAATGTGAAAGAAAAGAAGATGGAGAAAAGAAACAAGATAAGAATAAAAGAGAAGAAAAAGAAAAAAATATATGTTGAAGTAATAATAATTAAAATAAGGTAATAATAATAATAATAATAAATAAAATAATATATGGACTAGGAAAAGAAAATTGGAGAAAAAATAAAATAAATAAAAATTTAAAAAGCAAAGAGAAAGAAAAAATGGATGAAGAAAAGGAAAGAGAGAAATAAGGGATATTAGAGAATAAAAGAAAAGAAAAGAAATGAAATATAAAAAATAAAGAAAAACTTATACACAAATTAATAATAAATAAAAAGTAAAAAAACCTGGAGTTTTCCTCCACAGATTTTTGTGCCTACTGAGTTCACCCTTTGGATCTGCTGTGTGTGGCTCTTGCTGGATTTTGCTCTGATATTGTCCAAGTCTGGAGCCTTGGTGCGCTGTTCATAGGCCTCCCACTAGGTTCTATGATGCAGTCAATGTCAGTCACTTCCCTTGCCACCAGTCTGATGCTGGGCAGGACAGAGTCCCAAACAGTCTGGTGGTTGGGGCCTCCAAAGCCCAGAGACTGGGTTTGCCTCAGGTCTTGCCCATGGAATGCCCTTGCTCTGAGTTGCTTTCCCTTCCCCCATGGATATACACTCTGTGAGGATATCTGGGACCTGGCCAGGGTAGTTTAAACAGTCACATTGGGGGTGGTGCTTGTAATCTGTTGGAGTGGGGACAGGCACTTCCTCTCCTTCCCAGAGCTGTGCTGGCTGCTGGCTGTACTCACTAAGGGGCTTGGATCTGCTGAAGGGCCCAGCACCTGCCTATCTATCTCCTGGACAGAAACCCACCCAGGAGACACTTGCAACACCTCAACTTGCCTGGCTCCCTGGCATCCCCTCGCCACCGCACAAAGTAGGAGGGGGTAAAAAACAAAACAAAACAAAACAAAAAACAGCTCCACTTGCCACTCCAATCTTTCCATGAAGCCAACTCCCATGGGCAGGCCTCCACGCAGGCTCTGACTGGCCAAATGTTCATGGCCGCCCCGTGCCATCACATCAAGCAGTATGGGCACAGATTTCTAGCCCCACACTGTTTTCCTTTTTCTCAGGTCACAGCAGAAAGGGCAGACCTTTCAGTTTCGCAGTTTGGAGTGGGGCATCATCCATATGCTTGAGGTCGAAGTGAGGTGGGCAAGATCAACCTTTTTTTCCCCCCCAAGGCACACAGACCAGCCCCTGTCCAGCTCTCTGCCCAATGTTCTATTAGTAGATGGAGGATGTCTCAGAGTCACTGCTGGGTATACTGATAAGCTTCCTACGTGGCCAAGTTTTGCAGTGTGAAGCTTGATCACCTGGCTCCTCACCCAGTTCCAGATAAGATCAATTGTTCTGAGCTGATGATGGGAGTAAGAGACCTGTATTAGTTTCCTGTGGCTATTGTAACAAATGACCACAAACTGGGTGGCTTAAAACAGCAAAAATTTATTCTTTCACAGTTCTGGATGCTACACATCCAAAATTAAGGTGTCAGCAGGGCTGCACTTCCTCCAGGTGCTCCAGGGAAGATTCTATTTCCTGTCCCTTTCACCCTCTGGTGGCTGCCAGTATTCCTTGGCTTGGGGCCACACAATTCCAATCTCTGCCTTCATGGTTACTTTGCCTCTTCCTTTTCTATCTGTCTCTCCTCCATACGTTTCTTATTAGAAAACTTGTCATGGGATTTTGGGGTCCACCAAAATGACCTCTTCATTCCAAGATCTTTAATTTAATTATACCTGTAAGGTCACATTCCAAGGCTGAGTATGTAAACATATATGGGGGGAGGGGGTAGGCATCATTCAGCCCATGCGTGTGCCCAATTCTGAAATCAATGTTCTGGAAGCACCAGCTGCCGAGAAAAAGGCAGAGGGTGGCAGAGGCAGATGACATGGACCTGTAAGAAGAAGGTTTTCATAATGATTGATGAGTAACCAGCCATACAGGTTGTAGACAATCTACACTTCTGAGGCAGAGGACTTCAAGGGAGGCATTGCTCATAGGAAAACCAGGCTTCATTCAGAAGGAGCAGGAGAGTAGCCTGAGGCAACTGAAAATATATCAGATTCCTGATTGGGAACAGTGTGTGCCACGTTCAGAAGATGGCCTATTGAGGAGGAGCAGAAGGGCTTTCAGGCAAATAGAGCCAGAGAATGTGTGTCAGGACTGGGAGGTTGATGTCAGTAGCTAGCACCCTCACCAACTTCTGCCAGGGTCCCCTCCCAGTTTCTACTCTCACCATTCCTGGTCTCTCACTTTGAGCTCTCCAAACCAAATCTGTTCTTACAAAGCTTTGTACACCCGCAAGTCCCCATAGGCAGTGGGGTTGGCTTGTTTTGGTATCTGGAAAGTGGCTGAACTTCGACTGATTTTATTTTTTTCATCTGGCATATTATTATGCAGTCCTTACAGATAACAGTATGGTTTTATGTTCATAGTTGATACCACATCTGTATTAATGTAGTTAAATATATGTCCTTAGCTCTTCAAGGTCTTATCTCATAGGAAAGATTGTACTAATAGAGGGATTTAAATCAACCCTGAAGGGAATGATTAAGGTTTACAGATAATTGTGTTATCAATTATCTGTAATTTATCACATATTATTTGCATATGTAAGGCCACCCTTGGAATACTATGACTTCTCCTTCTTTGAATTACTATTTGGAAAGAAGAGAACAATTCAACTCCTCTATGAAGGGCAATGTGCAAAACTCCAATGTCAGTAGTTTTTGTTTTAAATTTTAAAGAAAAGTTATGAAGCATAGCATTAGATAGGTCAAGAGAAGTAGAGAGGACATTCGGGGGAAGAAAAACAGCGTATAAAATTAATTTTAATTATTTGGGGGGATGCTATTGATTTCTTTAAAGAATCTGATGAGAACTTTGGATTCTTAATCCTAGACAGACTCAAATGAGCACATACACATAAAATTCCACATGCATCTGGCAGGGTGCTTGATCTCTCTGAAGCTCACCCATGAGCTCCTAGGAGTGGATCCAAATCAACCAGTTAAGGCCCCTCTGGAGCATGACAGGCTTAGAGTGCACTAGAAACATCAGCTCCATTGGAGCTGATGGTTGAGAAAAGAGAAGAGAAGAAGACAAGGTTGGAAAGTTAGGTAGTGAGGCTCAATGGCAAGATTAAGGGAACACAGGGAACATAACTGTGTCTGTAGTTGACATAGAGCTATTAAATATTTTGGGCAGGATGCATACCAAACACCAGGAATCCCAGGTCTTGGGAAAGTCACCATTCTGTGCTCTAGTGGCCTCGTTTGTAAAATGGGGATGTTCTCAAAGTCAGCATGAGAACAAAGTGAGATAGTGTGAGTGAAGGCATTTGTAAATGTTTAAGGTTATAATGTATAAAGTGGAGAATTGAGAAGATGAATCAGGTTATAACATGGTGGGTATATTCACAAACAGCCCTCAACTGTGGGGCAGGGAACATTTAATGTGGTTGGGACGATTAGTAGGGCAAAGGAATGAAAAAAGCCATGAATACATTACAAAGTAAACCAAGGGGAATGAAGTTATTATTTTTGAAGTAAGGGGTACTACTCCAGATAGACTATTAACTTTTTGTGTGAATGGAAAGGTCTTGAATGAGATCAGGAAGAAGATGAGAAATGTTCATCTTGAAAGCCCTGAATTTTTCCAGAGGCCTTTCTTCCAAAACCAGATGGTACATAAATTAGATTCTCTGTGAATTACAGAATATTAAATTTTATAACCAAACCAAATTGATGTCTTATGCTTGGAACCAATGCATGCATGAATCTATTGGGAATAGCTTAGATTATTTTAACCATTGATTCATGAAAAAGGTTTTGGCAAAGGGTCTTAGTGAAGGAATCAAGCCAGAAACAGCATTTGTCATACCAGATGGGTTGACTCATCCTTTGGACTGAAAAATTCACCTGTCTTTTTGTGGAAACTGCCTAGTGGTCTATTAAATGGGGCAGGGACATTTGTTATATATCAATAGATGAGTCTTGAAAATCTGATGTATATGGGCTTCTGGGACACTTCCGTTTGGTGCTCAGTGCTATCTATAAAGCTGGTATTTTAGAGAAATAGAATAAAAACTAATTTGGACATCCAAAGGTCAGCTATTTGGGAGAGGAAATGTGAAATTGGTCCATAGCCACTTTGGGAGAAAGAAGACATTATTAGAAGGTGAGAACCTACTCCATGTAAGAGACAAGTGAGGTCATCTGCTCTAAAGAAGCTACAGAAGGACCTTAGTGTCTTAACACTAAAAAGTAATTTTTTAAAAAGTTACTTGGATTCAAAGTTGTGGAGATTGCTCTTCCCATTACTTTCCCCTGGCTGTCTTATTCTTATCATTTAAAGTTCAGCCCAAACATCACCTTCCTACCCGAGTAACTTCCCTACCCCCAATCCTGCTTCCAGAATTTCTGTCATATTACCCTGTTACTTCCTCCCTCATTTTTATACTGAGTACCTGTTTAGGGCCTTTCTCCCTCCCATAAGGGATCCTGTCTGTCTTGCTCCCTGCTGTATTCCAAGCCTTTAGCACAAATCTGATCCGTATTTGTTGAATGGATAAATGTGTGGAGCTTTTGAAACATGGAAACAAACCAATTTGCCGACCAGTTCTTGGAGTCCCAGACCTTTTGTATTTTTTATTCTGACAAATCTTTTGGATTCTATACCTATAAGATTGTTACAGAGAACTAGAATAAATCAAGCAATGCTCAGAGAGTTTAGAGTCACATTTTATTCACCGCGGTGGGCTTAGAGAAAATGACTTCAAATTCTAAGCAGAGCTACAGGCAGAACTTCCCTTTTTATTAAAGATCCAGCCCTATGTGTGGTTAGTGGTTATCTCGCTGGTGGCCTTGAAAACTATACAGTTCTATCCAATTAAAAAATACACCTGGCATGGCATTGAGAGTATGGGCATATCTAGTCTCTGGCCTACAGGGTCAGACAGCTAAGTTTATCTTCCTCATTATTCAAGCAGGCTAAAGCAGGCTAGAAAGCAAAGTGTTTTTTGTTGTTGTTTTTTT